CATCCTCATATAAATATATTTGCATATGTACATGTCTTTATCTAGACCTCTATAAATGCCCTTTGCCTCCCAGCTCTTTCCTCTATTTCCCTTCTCTTCCTGTCCCACTATCATGCTCAGTCCCCACCAGGATTTCAGCAATTCCTCTTTGTTACGTTCCCCTTGATCATGCCCTACTAGAAGACAAACATTCTTAAATGTTATTTCTTTCTTTTGATTAAATGGTAATGCCCATGATGTTATAAAAACCTAACTCAATGTCTCTAAAATTAATTAGAGATATAGTTTGAAATTCTTTAAGGGTCTACCGTATATACTCAAGAGAGAATAAGCTGACCCGAATATCAGCCAAGGCACCTAATTTTACCACAAAAACTGCATTAAAAATGTGCTGAAAAACTACTTATACATGAGTATATATGGTAATTTAGTCTTAAATAAGATTAGTTGTTGAAACTAACCAGAAGAAAACTAAGATTACCATATTATTTGTGGGAAATATCTGCCAAATAATCAGAGAATTTTCAAGTGGAACAGTGTCATAGAGATGATCAAATGAACACCACTTCATTTTAAAGATAAACTGAAGTGAAGGGAAAATTTCTTCACATTGTTATGTATATATTCCCACATTCTGATGTGAAAATGGTGAGCCCAAAAGGTCAAGAACTAATGCTAGAGAAACAGAGCTAAAATTCAAGCATGCAAAGACCAATGAGAAAAGAGAATGAAAATCACAGGTGAAAGATTTTTCTGTCTTGAGAACCTGAAAAATATGTACATGCTGATGTATACATAACTCTTTTTGAAAGTGATTCAACTATGGAAGTGTATTATGATAAGTGATTTTTATATCAAGAAAACTAAAAAGACAAAACAAACCAAACTTAGCAAGGGTGAAGGAAGAAGCGTTTTTGCTTAGGAGCACTGTTCATTTTAATGGCGGTGGAACAATTTGTAGAGGGAAATCAATAATGATTATACAACACAAAGAGTATAATCAATGGCACAGAATTATACATGTCAAAGTTGTTGAATTGGAGAATGTTTTGTTGTGTATATTTCTGTCAAAATTGACCCAAAAATTACATGAATAACAATAAGTACAAGGAAAAAGAAATTGTTCTCAAACTGTGGTTAAGACTGTACAACTCTTCTTGATATGGTTGAACTATTGAATTGTATGATATGTGGATGAAGTGCCAATTAAACTATTAAAAAAAGAATAATTTATAAATTATGAAGGGGGTATGGAGGAGGGAGTGTGGGGGAGGGAAGGGGGAAAAATGAGGAGCTGATGCCAGGGGCATCAAGAAAGAAAATGTTTTGAAAAAGATGATGACAACATATGTAGATGTGTTTGACAAAATGGAGATATATATATATATATTTGGATTGTGATAAGAGCTGTAGGAGCCTCGAATAAAATCAAATTTAAAATAAATAATAAAATCCAAGGAAAAATATGTACAGGCTATGACATCCTTGAAATAAGAAGAGCTAGCAATGCTAAGAAACAGATGTATATCTATGAAGTAAAGGAATAAATCCTATCAGAACTATGAAACAATTGTGAGAAGAAAAGAACAAAGGTCAACATCAAAATGAAGTAAGTAAAGCCCTTTTCCCTCTAACGCTAACCTACTTACAATTTTTCGAAACAAATGAAAGTAACTCTATAGATTACAAGTCAGCCCAATAATGTTACAAAACATTAATTCCCAAACTTCACAGGTTTTCTTTCCATCTTTTTACTTTTGGTGTAATTTTGTGCTCCTACCCTTAGCCAGATATCTCATAAGAAAAATTTACAAGACCAATGACTTTGTTATGCAAATAATCATATTTGCATATGTAATATGCAACAGTTCTAACAATATAAACAGCTACTGTACATATGGACCTTGCCAGATGGAGTATATAGGAATCAAATGCTGGGATGAGATGATAAAGAAACTCAATTTCATTAGCCAAAATAAAACCAGGGGCCATTTGTGGAACAGATCATCAACTGCTCATATGCAAGTTCAGGTTGAAGGTGAAGAACATTAAAATAACTCCAAAAGAGCCAAAATACAACCTTGAATACATCTCACTTGAATTGAGAGGACATCTTAGGAACAGATTTAATGCAATGGCCACCAGTGACTGAAGATCAGATGGCTTGTGGGACTACATCAAGAATGTCATGCATGAAGAAAGCAAAAAGACAGAAAAAAAAGATCAGCGTGGATGTCAGAAAAGACTCTGAAACTTACTCTTGATCGTAGAGTAACTAAAGCACATTAAAGAAATGATGAAGTAAAAGAGCTGAACAGAAAATTTCAAAAGGCAGTGCAAGAAGACAAAAGTATTATAATGAAATGTGCAAAGGTCTGGAGTTAGAGAGTAAAAAAGGAAGAATAAACTCACTATACCTCAAGCTGAAAGAACTGAAGAAAAAATTCAAGCCTCGA